GTCTTGGATGCAGATTTTACTACAGTGAGGAAAATTGCATGGCACTTTGCATAAAATTATCTCGTGAAGAGTATTTATAGTCAAACTGTGAAATAGAATTCTGAAGAATATGACTTTGTATCCATTCTTTTTTGCCATTAAATGGTTTTTTCTTGTTGCACTGTGTTTCTCATATAATTGTCTCGCATCCCTTTCCTTTATTCAAACAAGCACGTTATAATATCTACTGCTATTGTAGTAATATGTTGCTGTTGTTCTGATGGCCTCTTGTCCATGACTTTTCTCAGTTCATTCCTGCCTCATTTTCCTGCCACCTCATTCCACTGAAACTGTCCTGAGAACAATCACATAAGGATATTTTTTTCCACTTTAAATCAGATAATCTTTACTCTGTGCTTTCACAAAACCCTTGTTCTTCTAATTAGCAGTTCACTCTTCTTCCCAAGGGTCTGTTCTCTTTCTTGTAATTTTCTACCATTATTGGTAGATTTTTCTCCTCTCTCTTGATATTTATCAAATAGCTTAATGGCTTCCAATTCTCCACTTTCCACTCCATTTCCTTTGGCCAATTTCATCTGTTATTCTTCTATATTATTGTATATCTTCTCTTCCAACCTTGTGAACGATCTTTTGCTTTATTATACTGAGATGGTTAGAAACCAACTTCTTCTTTCTTCTTAAGCCTCTTCTCAATCTCACTTTTCATAATATATTTGTAGCACTTCAGTTCAGAGTCATGTTAGCTATGATTGCTCTCTATTCTCAGAATCAGGATTTTGACAAACTCGTTTTTTTATTTCTTGATGTTTTCATACTCATCTCATTGTTCCCTGCCATTATTCCAAAGTCTGATCAAAATCCCTTCTCTGGTCTGCTCTAATTTGCATTTTATAGCCCATTCGTTTTTCTAAAAGCTTAAATGATTTCTATTTTCTGTTTCTCTCTGTGTGTATCATAAGTAGAGGTTCCAGAGGTTCCTCCTATGGCAGCTTCACTCCTTGAACTGTTTATCCCTTCCTCTTGCTTTTGTAACATTTCTTGTTTTCATCTTCCTCTTTTCTCCCTTCCTTACACTGTTCCCATCAATTGAAATAACGGTTTGCCTACACAGCAAGTACATTCATTTCCCAGCTTTCTTCAAACTCCCATCTTTAGCCTTGACTCAAAGATGTCCTTTTATTCACGTTTTGCTTATGTGACTTGAATTCTGAAGAGAGTATGGCATCATTTCATTTCTTCATGATGTAAAACTTCACAGCATTTCCATTGCAAGGATATTTAAGCCCTTTTGCATGATTCTGTAATAAGGCAGAGAAGGAAGTGAAGGGGCAGACGTGGCTGCAGACCATGGCTTCCTATGTGCTGGTGTGCTTGTCAGAACAACTCTAACTGGAACGCTGTTACAGTATCCTAGGGCTTTTTAGTATAAGTTGGGAGTGACCTGCAGCTATCACTACATCTTAATAATTAAAAGTCTCTCTTTGCTAGCTTTATCACTTAGTCCTCCGCTTTGCTCTTTCTTAGAAGTGCCCATTTTTCTCAACCAATGGCATCTTTGTAACTTCTCTTATTTGAAAGTGGAGCTTACATTTTTCTGTGATACTGATAAATTGCTTATTATCACTTTCTAGTTCCTTGCTCAGCTAAAACTCATGGACTACAGCTTGCTAGTTGGAATTCATGATGTTGAAAGAGCTGAACAGGAAGAAGTAGAATGTGAAGAGAATGATGGAGAAGATGAAGGTGAAAGTGATGGGACACACCCCATTGGAACTCCTCCAGACAGTCCAGGAAATACACTGAACAGCTCGCTGCCTTTGGCTCCTGGGGAATTTGATCCAGCTATTGATGTTTATGGAATAAAATCTCATGAAAGTAAGTAGTAATAAACATCTGCATGCTAAGATGTTTTGATTCTTACACTGGAGCCCAGACATCTTCACAACAATGTTAAGGGAAAGTTACATTGCACAATATAAATTTGCTTTGTAGAAGAGGAAATCGGTTGTTCTTTGGTGAAGCAAAAGGCATCTGTGATGCACAGCTTTGTTACTGAACATATTTCTCAGATGTAGTGATGTGTGGGGATGGATGCAGTCAGCTAGCATACCTACTGCACAGTCAGCTCAGGTTCTGAATTAGCTGTTCAGACATCACAGTTCTCAATGGCTGTTCAAGACAGGAATGTTTGTTGTGGTTTTTTTTTTTCAGCAGCATTTACATTAATAAATATATAGTTTCATTCATAAATAAAATATGCTTTTGCTGACTCGGAAGCCCTGCCTCCCATATAAAATTTAGTTTTTCCTTGTTTGTTTGTATAACTATAAGGGAACTTGAAATCCACATCAAATGAGCAATAATTCCTATTTCTGTATGCTGGTGGTTTATTTTACACTTGTTCAAAGGTTTCACATTACATATAAGTGCATTTAACCTTTCACTTAGGTATATCTTGAGCCTGTGGTCTCTACAGAACTGTAATTCTGACGTTACCCTCCCTGAGCTGCTGAGTGATCCTAAAGAAGTCTCCTTTGCTGGAAGGAGAAGGCATGATTGAAATGTCATTCTCACTTTCATGTACTTGTCCTTTGCAGGTGCACCTAGGAAGGAAGTATATTTTATGGCCATTATTGACATTCTTACCCATTATGATGCAAAAAAGAAAGCTGCCCATGCTGCAAAAACAGTAAAGCATGGGGTAAGTGTCTGTTTTCTTCCTCTGATACAATTTATACTTTTGCATTTTTCTTGTTTAGTGCACTGATAGAACACAGTTCAAGAGATTTGTGCAAAGGAGAGAGATTATTTTTTCCTAGTTTCATATGTGATAAAAGAGCACAGAGTAACTTCTATACATTGCATACTAAAGCTCCCTATTTAGCTACACACATTTTTGTTACCTATAAAGAAGACCAGGAAGGCACTGCCCTTTTAGGGCTCTGGCCTGCATTAGTGGGATGTATTTTATACTTGCAGACAAAGCTGTTCACCAGGCTCTTGTATTAGCTTACAGCTCAGTGGAAGCTGTTGTGAATCTTCTGACATGGGACCCTAGTGATGGTTTCATTGTTGGGTACAACCCGCTGAAAGTTAATTCCTCAGCATATAATGTGTCTTACTTTAAAAGATTTCTTTAAAAAAAAAAAAAAAAAGTTCAATTTGCAAGATTAAGTATAAAATGTACATGTCAGATACTTGGGTACCATTCAGGGAAGGCTTGTATTTGACTGCCATGGATTTCTTTATTTTTGACTGAAACTGCTGCTGAGCAGCAGACACCAAAGAGTTATGGGAAAGCATCCTAGTCTTCCAAAATGAAGATTTGTACTTTCCATTATCACTGTATGGTGATTTGAGGTCAGAATTTCCTAAGCTCATTAAAAAGACCATAATCATTTCTGAAGCTGGGGTACCTCCTCTAAGAATCAGGGCATTATGGATGGTTTTAATCAGAGTTTGGGTTTTTTGAGTTTCCAATAGAAGGTGACTTAGAATGCCTAGCAGTGAGAGCCCTGGACAGGCTTGCAGTACAACATGATCATTACTTTCTCCATTCTAAAAGCACTTGAAAGTCAATGCAAACTATATGCAGCCATTAGCTGGCAATCTATGTTGTGAATAACAACTATGATTATTAAACCTTACTACAGAACATGACATTCGTGCAACCATTTTGTTTGCTTTCACTGCTTGCATCCTCAGCCACCTGACACTGAAGGTGGTTCTGTAATTGCATGCATGCATTCTTTTCCTTTCATGAAATGAGGAAGATGTAACTGTGGTTAAGGCTCTGAAAATGTCCAATAACAGTCTGAGTGAAACTGTGACCTCACTGAAATAGCAATTGTGCAGCTAATTTAGGGAGTCCAGGTTTAAATGTTGGAAAAAACATGTCTCACTGTTCTCACGTATTCCAAAGCAGATGAGTTAGCATTCAGATAGCCGTGGGCATCAGCCTCATAGGGACACATTGGGTCCAACTGCAGTAGTTCAGTTTTCTCTACAGGAAGATGCTGCTGTTCAAGAGATAGGAATCTGTGAGTAGTGTGCTTAGACGTGAGCAGTGGAAATTGTACAGGAGAATGAAACGCAATGAAAGTAAAGAGGAATAAGGAAAGTAAAGAATGGCATTCAGAACCGGGAGGCGGGTGCTGCAGGTGCCCAGCTGATACCTGTACTGGGGTGAAGCCTAAAAAGGTGCCCCTCATATTCTGCTGGAGGGTTCATGACAGCGTGTGTGTCTGGTGCTGAGACCACAAGTTAATCCATCACAGTGCTGCTGCTGAAAGCATCCACTAAACACTGCTTCTTCCTTCTTTCCTCTTCCCTCTCCATCCTCTATTTAGGCCGGTGCAGAAATTTCAACTGTTAATCCTGAACAGTATTCAAAGCGCTTCTTGGACTTTATTGCCAACATCTTGACGTAACCCCTCGTGTCACAGCGGACAGACACGAGACCTGGGGACAGCAGCAGAGACTACGAGGGTAGGGAAAAAGGAACTCAGAGAAGCGCTCATCTTGCAGAAAGCAACCCCTTTGTTTACATCTGCTGGCAAAGATGACTGAAGTGGGGTGGAATACTCGCTTTAACAGCTGCCTGATATTCCCAGCATAGTTCTAGCTATTTCTGACTCTTTTGTGTGTGCAAAAAAACAAACAAACATTAAATTAAATAAATAGAACAGCTTACTCAGAGTGCACTGTGACAGTCCCACTCTGACGCTACCAGCTGAAACGGAGCAACTGAGCAAAGAGGCGTGGGGTGGGGGTGGGGAAAGTAAATGCATGTTAAATCTACAATATTGATAGCAAATTGTAAACTGTGGATCAGTTTATTTTTTGAACTAAAAGATACGTGACAGTATTCATGACGGTGATGATAATAATAAAAACCTTACTGCGAATGTTACACTCACACCATGCACACTGGCACTCCTTACAAACAGCACTGCAGCAGTGGGCCCGTGGTGCCGGAGCTCTTCCCATCAGGTTCTTGCAGTTGGGGGTTTTTTGTTGGTTTTTTTTTTTCCCTTTTCTCCCATTTCTTCCTTTTCCTCCACACATCACATAGGGCAGTCCATGCTCTCAGGCACCAGGAGCTGATGTCTCCTACCTTACAGAGAGCTAACGTGTAATTCATGCTGTGTGTACATTTTTGCTACCGTGAACTTACATTAAGGGAAAACCTTGCTTATTTCACTTTGTTACCCGAAGTTGTCATTTGTTTTATATTCTTGCCGTATAGGAACTAATAATGTTGAAGTGGAAAGAAGCTTATCTGAAGAAGTGCATAGTTCTGGGCAATAGTAGCTGTGTCTCTCACCCACAAGACGTGCGCGCGGATAGAAACTCCATTCTTTTGTAATTTAATGGGAATTTGAAGTTCGGATGCTTACATTGTACTGCTTAAACAGCAGTATTTTATGATAGATTATCCCTCTAAAAATGAACCCCGGATTTTACTGTTTACATTATTAGGAAAGCAGGGATATTTCTGAATTTTAGAGCTGTGTACAATATATGACTTTTAAGTTTACATGTAAAGTTATTTTGCAGTACAGATGAAGTATGTTCGTCACCCTCCAAGCGTAATGTGCAGCCATGTACTACGGTGAATGTCTCACTCGCCCCGGCAGACTCTTACAATAAAATGAGGAAGGATATTGCAGAGGGATTTTTCCCAAGGACGTCTTTTATCACCAAAACGACCTGTCCTGCCGTGTACTCAAATCTGATTGTACAGTGCATTGCCTAAAACTGTGCTGATCATGTTTAACTTGTTTAGAATTTTTAAACGACGACATTGTATTTCTGCTCTTCTTGTATTTTTTCCCTGGAAGATTCCATGCTTGAAAGACAAATTTACATACGCTTAAAGTTTATCTACTTATACACTGTGCTAAAGCTGTGCCTTTGAAATTTCTTTATTGAAATTGTTAGATTTTGTAGGCGATCTAAAGGAAGTCAAGCCCTCCCCATCATCATTTCTAACAGAGATCAGGAGTGCCAGCATGCCTTCTCCATTACTAACATCAGTGCTACTCAGCCTGCACCTGTGCATAACATACATTTTACTTCCAAGGAGCCTATAGATAGCAGCCCATCACACTCTTTGGTGGCCAAAGGCAATGCTATCCCTGTTGCTGTGTACTAATTCTTTTCTCCTTTCCTCTACCTTCCCTACAGGATTTTTTGTTACGTTTGACTTAGTGATGTCTGCAGCACTGTAATGTATGTGTATACTTTTGTATTGTATGTATTTAAATAAGTTGGTACTGTGGCTTGATATTTTGTTGTCCTTTCCCGTATTCCCCCATTGTCTGCATTTATCACCAGAGTTTCATTTCCTGTGGCTTCCTGAAGCGTGAGGCCGCAGCAAGACCCTGAAGTCAAAATGAGGTACCATTGCAGCCAATCAGTGTACATTTTTAGACCATTTTAGAAATGTACCACTTTTTGTCTGTGTAGCAGTTTTGTCACTCATTATTGTTGATAAACTGTTTATTTGGACAGGGCAAGGAAGTCTCATTATTGTATATGTTAGTGCTTAGATTACACTCCAACCATGAGCAAGGCTTTATAAAATAAAGCACTTTGATGACTCACTAGGTAATTCCTTTGGTCTCGTGTTTCAGCCGCTTCTGCTCGCTTACAGACTAATTTTGGATGTTAAAATGAATGTGTAGCCAATACCATAAAGCACAATCAGAAACTTGGAACCTTTTCATTACATTTTACCCTGCTTCTTTCACATATGTGTAAATGGCTTGAAATGTTTCACCCTTGTGTTCTGTGTTGGGCTGTGCTCCAGAACAGAGGTTTGGGAGCAATGGCTCAATGGGTGAAGCCCTGGTCTTACTACAAAAAAAGGAATATGTCCTACAGCTATCAAAGGATGGAAAGACTGGCAGAATTTGCCAACACATGTAAGGGCTTGAGCTAAGAGTCACATAAAAATACCTGGGAATAAGAGCAGATAATTCCTAGGAGGAGAGGGGGCTTTCTGGCCTGGAATTCCTTGGCTTTGCTCATCAGGCCTCCCAGCACACGAAGCAGCCTGCACAGCCCAAGTGGCAGAAAAGGAAGTTTTGTTCTTTATTCTGACTTAATTCTCTTAATGCATTTGTCACTTTTCACTTCCTTTTGTTTTACTGCACAGACATAACAAGGCAGTGTTTTCAGAAATATTTTTACCTCTAAAATACACCCGACAGACTTAATGATAACATAGACATTCCCCACAGGGAAGGCTGTTGAGAAGCTGTTCTATTAAGAGCAGGTGAAGTGATGGGAAGGGAGAGGATCCGCTTCTTAATTACTCATTTAATGATATCTCCAGCATTAACCCAAGCCTGCATGTCACACGGCTGCTCCAGCTGCTCATGCTGTAGCATGGCCATGCTGTTCCAGGACTGCTGCTTGCAGGGCAGCAGGCTGCCTCTTCAGTTCACCATTTGCGCTGCTTCTGCAGTCATGTGTGGCAGCAGCCCCCAGCTGGCACCCACTGCCCCCATCCCAGCCTCTCTCTGCCCATCCTGTTGCTGTCCCCTGCCTGTCCACACAGGTGGGGGTGATGGATGCTGAATGTCTCCCTGTGGTTGTTGCTGGGCACGCTGTGTGATGCATCACTGGCTCCAGCAGGCAGTGGAAGCGCCTTGGCTTGAGGAGGTGCATGTGTATTCTCTTCCTAAGCTGGAGCATATCTTTTCTGATGATATGTTTTCTCCCCCTCCAACCCAAAGAAAGTAGTGATGGTCATCAGAGTATACAAGCCAATGGGCTCATTAATGCTGGGACTGCAGAAAAAGAAAACTTCTTGAGAACCATATTTTTCTACATAAACTGTGTACTGTAAATGGCCAATCTGAGTTTCCAGCTTACCCCCTTGTGCTCACCCCTCCTTTCCCACTGTGGTAGCAGTCAGGAAGTCCCCACATTACAGGCTCATTACGTTCTGATGTTCTCACCCCAGTGTTGCGCAGTGTCTGTCCTCTCTCTGCTATCCCTGCTTCTTGGTGTCTCAAACTTTCGTATTTCTCATGTAATGGGAAAAGAAATAAAGTGGCTAACATAGAGGAGAATTCAGCCTCACCTCTTCCTTTCCATCTTGATTCCTCTGTGGCAGCTGCGGGTGCTGGAACTCAGCGTGCTCCATCCCCTCACCATGCAGAGCAGGGAGCAGCAGCTGTGCAGTGCCAGCAGTGCTGTCTTCACCCCAGAGCAACATGAGCTGCTGCACAGCTACATGCACAAACAAGCGGCTGAGCTGGGGAGCAGCATCTTCAAGTGGCAAAGACGATGTGTGGGAGATTAAACTCACACCTTATTAAACTCAGCCTTATTAAAAGCATTAGAAAAATGAGAGTGGAAAGGACTGACTTACTGTCCCAGAGCAGCTCTGCTGCAGGTGAACCCTGCCAAGAAGTGGGTTAATGCTTACCAGCAAGAGCAGTTCCGAGGGATCCCTCTGCTACCCCTCCCATGCCTCACTTCTCTATCACTGACAGATTTTTTTTCCTGGTATCTTTCCTGACTGCATTAGAGCGATTTAAATCCATTAATATTTGTTCTGTCTACAGTGGACTCTGAGAAGAGTTTGTTCTCTTCCGCTCTCAGTTTCACTCAGTGCAATTCTGCCTTTATGTGCTATACAAGGTAAATATTAGCTTTGGCACATATTATAATGTGAATATCCCCTTTCTTTATCTAACACAATAATCAAAACAGTTGAGCTAGGCAGAATGACCTATATTCTATTTTTAATGCCAAAAATCTAAAAAAATATAAAAATCACCCACTAAAGTGGTGCTTCTCAATTGTCAGCTATATTTTGTAAAGGGATTACGCATTTTTATTTTGAGAATTTCCCAGTAATCCATTTAGCACCTAATCCCAGAAATGCACAGTGATCGTTGTTTGAACAGAGCGCAGTGTGGGAGCGGGCACTCAGCTGCTGGCTGCAGTTGTTGCTGTAACTGCAGTGCAATGCCAACCTCTTACGGACTTTTTTCCCAAAGCAAATATCATCATCTTTGCTTTTCTAATGATATTCTCATTCCCCAGGCTTCTAATCTCATCCCCCCCCCCAGTGATACAACACAACATAATCATCTGCTCCTCGATAATTAAGATACAAAATGTACTTCTTTGCGAGTTGGCATAAATTCACACCTATCAGTGCTGTGACGATTTTCAGGCATTTCAGTTATTGCCCAATGTGCTTACGTTCATAAAGATCTGCTCTGCTCCCTGTCCGCCTGATGAGTTCATACCAACTCACTTAGCTGTGTGCATCTCATTGGAGTCAACAGAGCTGTGAGAGCTGGGTGTTTTGCAGCAGTTTCACACTTCCACACAAGACTAGGATGCAATTTAACTTGTTGCCATTCTCCATTTCCAATATTTCCACAATTTCTTCTTGACTCTGCATCAGAAGCCCAAGACCAGAGCGCTTCACTTCCTTTCTATGTACTTGTCCTTTGCCCCATAAAAAGCTTTTCATTGTAAGAAAATCTCAGCCACGCTTCTGCCTGCATCCTGCCTGGCATACAGAACTCCACACAGGTACTGGCTGACAGCACCAAAGCCCACATGCCCTCCTCCGGTACACAGCTCCCATTTGGCTGTGACACGATGCACCCACTTGGCCCATCCATAAGGAACGAGGTTTTGCAATTGGAAGATGGGTGTGAAAGCACTGTCATTCCCTGAGAGCCACAGTGATGTGGCCCGAGCTCCCGCAGGCGATGGACTCACAGCCCTCATGGGGAAGGGGCAGCAGATCCACTTATCCACCCCTCCACAAGACACAATGGCTGCACCGTGGCAGAGCAGCGGGGGCTGATGGCCGAGTCACCCATCTGCCAAGCACATACTCATCTGCAGGGTAAGGCCTTGGGCATGTGGAGACCCAGGAAGGTCAGAATACAAACATGTTAAACACAAACTGCTCTCCTAAATGGGAGTTTCTGTACTTACAGACTTCCAGAGAGGAGCTGCTCTTCCTTATGTTCCTGTGCAGCAAGCAGGGCTCATTGCCCAAAGCCCCTCCAAATGCACAGCGCTCCATCACTGAGCGGCTGTAAATTCATTAACGAGAATACTGACAGCATTTGGTCCATTCCTGTCAGACAGCTTGAAAAAAGGAGAGAAAAAAGCTATCAAGCTGTTAGTAATCAAATCCCATCACACACTAAAAATAACAAGAAGCTGTTTCAGCAGGGTGAGGGACAAAGCAAGCTGCACCCTGGCAAAGGTGCATATCTCCAAATTTAGAGCAGGCCAGCAAGAAACAGTAAGCAATGAACCAGCCATGGATGCCCAGAAAGTGAAGGTTGAAGATGATCTTCAAATATAGCCAAGCTTTATTGCTATTAAGTGCTTTAAAAATCAGAACTACTGGTTTAAATTAGCTCATGCTATGTAGGCAGCCAATGTAAGGAATGCAGATGGAACAGGACAGCAAAAAACCAAGGCATGTGCAGCTCTTGCAGGGCCACAGTGCAAATAAAAACAGGGGCTGTGCTCTGGAAGAAAGCACCTGAGCTGAGCTGTGTGGGGAAGGGAGAGGCCACAGGGGAAGCCAATGGACGTAACCCAACATCATGTTTCTGGAATTGCTTCTAGAATTCTCTCCATACGTGGAGCAACTGAAGAAGAGTGTTGCACCATTATAGGGCTTCCCAGCTATTAGGAAATGTAGTTCCACAGCCAGGCGTAACCAGAGGCACATGTCACAGCCCACCCTGACAACGGGAAAAGTTCAGTGAGCTCACAGACCCCAGCCAGAGATCCCATACAGAGACACTTCTGCTACTTTCTAGATACTCTGCAGATGTTTGACCAAAGTTTGGCTCTAATTCTTTCACAATGCAGATGCCAACATGAAGTCAGAGCCAGGAAATTAATCCTAGATGTTCACAGACAAACTGCTTCTAATCCTAATTGTTGCTTTTCTGCTAAACAAAGTGGTTTTAAACAGACCTCCCATGCAGCTTGATGTGCCTGAGCCAGCTGCTCACACGGAGCGCTTCGGCCCCTCCTTGCTCCCTGCACAACGCGTGCCCTTACCTTCCCAAACCAATCCCCCGCCCGGAACGCCCTGCTCCGGTGTTTCAATCTCTGCAGCAGTTCCCACCTCGCATTGGCCACAGACAGATCTTGCCTTAACTGATAGCTAAGATTTACAGTGCTAAGACATAAGTGATACTGTTTCTAGAGCAGGAAGCCCATTCTGCCAAACACAAGCCCTTCCTTCCCACCATTACTTATTTTATAACACACTCCACATATCAAAGAAGTCCACAGGCACTTGAACTGGCTTCTAGCTACAGCTACCTTCAGTTAGAAACTAAAGTTTGACGCAACGCACAGGAAAGGCTCTCTCTGAACACAATAGGTATTGAACCCAACTCTTCAAGCATAACATTTGCATCAGCAGTAACGCACACCGGCTTGTGCTGCTGAAACTACAAGGTGCTGCTGTTCTAACAATGCCAGCACAAACTCATATTTCCAGTTTCTCTGACTGGATCTGTACATACTGTGGTGGAAGCCCTTATATAAATACACATATACTCACATACATAATATGTGCATTTATGTGTGTGTATTATATATTTCAGCATTTAGGATGCTTCCAGAAGTATATCCTGATTTGCACCGTATGTATATCTGTACTAAAAGCTCTACAGCACAACAGCAGCCGCAAGAGGTGAGTCAGACCTCTCACCAAAGGTTCACTTGATGAGAAGTAATATATTCTGACTATATTAAGTACCATGAATGACAAGACAGCCCTTCAGACAGCCCTTCTCCTGAGCAGTACCTCCAGCCCATTTGCCTGATGCTCCCGCAGCTCTAACATCCCTTTGACTGTCACATACATTCCCACAGACCAGATGAGGGTAGGACAAATGGGGCTCCAGCACACACATACAATACGTGCCAGTGTTCCAAGAGCATAATTAGTACCGTTCTGCTCCTCCACGCAGTGGGGAAACTCTATCCTAATCGAGGGCAAGGAAAGGGGGCTCAGCTCGTGCTGACCTTCTCAATCCTAGAAGAAAGAGCTTTAAATACGTAACTTAAAACACAAGCATGAACATTTCAACTTTGAATTGGCTGAAGCAGTGCAGTACAGTGATGCACTTCGGCGTGGATCGCTCCAGCCCCTTCAGTGAAAGGCAAGATATGGCAGGAGCTGGGTTTAGAGCCAGGCACAAAAGCCTCAATTAAATCAAAATACGGGAAGTCTAGTTCTTTCACACACATATAACATAAAACCAATTATGCTCAATGCCTTTGCAGTATCACTCATTTTTTATTGAAAAAGAAATCCACAAAATCAGCTCGAATGAATCCACCCCCACGGCAATGGCGGTTTGCACCTGTTCTACATGTTACACACTGCCTGCACCGATCGCTCTGATGAGTATCTGAGCTGCAATGCAGACCCACATCCACACGTTCCTCCTGCAGACTACAGCACAGCAATGCACGTAAGGACCTGCCCCAGCGCTCTGCCTGCTCTGTGTTGGACAATTGCACGGATGGACTGAAAATCCCAGCAATGCTGAGCACCAAACTGTGAGACGCACCAAGCTGCATCATGCAAACAAACCAGGTATGTGGGAAGCGACAGAAGAGGAGCAAAGGGTAACAGCTGTTAGTTTACCTGGACAACACAGAGCAAAGCTGTTAAGGGTAGAATGGCATCAGTTCACATTTGTGCAGCTGTGGCACACCCCTTCATTCACGCAACACACAGTACACAATTATGCTATGGAGGTCACAGGAGTCAATTTTCCCTTTCATCTCATCCACATCAATTAGGAAAATATGCCAAAGTTCACCTAGGCTGCGGTGCTGCTTTCTGTGGTGGTGAAGGGTCAGATCCTCAGCTGCAGAAGCTGACAGCCTGTGAGCGTGGCTTCAGGGGGCAGGGGCTGCAAACAGACAAACACAACTCATCTTGAAACAAAAACAAACAAACAATCAGAGGTACCTTTGGTGCGTGTACCAAAGAAACATTCCTAGAGGTGCCCCTGGAAGTCACACTCATTCTGCAGGGAAACACTAACGAGAAAAGAGTAGGATGGCAGCAGACAGACGTGGCTGTAGGACAGCAGTCCCACTACTCACCTGGCAGCACCCATCCCTGGTGCTGCTGCAGCTACTGGCCATGGAGCAGGCTGATTCTGAACACTGGGACATTCCTTCTGCCCTCCTGCTATGGTTTGTGCTTCAGCTTTGCAATTCATGCCAACCTTCTTCAGCAGTTCACTAGGAATCCACCCTGAGACCCCCGCTGTCATCTGTCAGCTGTTCCTAGAGTTTTCTCTGAGATGTCCTTCAGGCAAGATGTGTATTTCTCCACATATAATAAGATTCTGAAACCCCATATAATCCATTGAGAAACTGCTCTGGTGTGGAGGACAGCGTGAGATGAAAGTATTTCTTCTGCATACAATTTGTAGGGCAGTGTTCAAAACTGAAAAACAAAACAAAACAAAACAAAAACAAAAAAAAAAACACCTGCAGAGAACACACCTTCAATTCCATAAAGGGAACTTCAGCGTTTCTTTTCAAGCTTCCTTTCTCCATCAGTGTATTTGACCGTAGAGCAGAGACCAAATGGAAACACGCTGCACCCAATCCTCCTGTGTGCTGCATTGGCTGCACATTTACAGTAACGCCAGCACTTCCCAGCAGCCTCAGGCCCGTCACACACACCCTGTACAGCACTGCTGTAGAGGTTGGTGCCTGGGAAACCCCCCGCACACAAAAGGCGCAGTGGTAGCCTGAGGTCAGCAGCTGAAATGAAACACGTGATGGCAGCTGCCTTGCTGACAGTATGGAGCTGGGAGATGCAGGGAGGATCGCTCCTATTCTGAAGCGTAACACGAAGCAAAGCAAGGAGTCGTACATGCTTCCCTGCACTCCCTTCTGTGGTTGTTGTGCAGGAAGGGACGTTAATGCAAATCACTTCTCAATGGTACCTGCAGCTTGATATCAAGAATGACCCTTGGGTTGGCGTCTACAAGCTGTCTTCCTAGAGGAAAGGATTGGCATCGACTGGCATAAAACTACTGACAGCGAACACAGCTCCTTAACAGCCACCTGGCTATCAAAAGTGATAGTCAAATATAAACCTTCATCTAAAGACTTTTATAATGTTAATGTACTCATTCGGACTGTTAGTATAAGTGTACTGCATCATTAATCACAGTAATGGTACATCAGCAGACAAGTGAGGTTTTGCTCAGATCTATGATTGTCCACATCAGTTACTGGCTGCCTTTAATTAACAAGGACTGACCTCTCCGCTTCTCTTTCTATTTCTGCAGTTATGAAAAATCTATTTCTGAAGGTGGACTCCTATGATAAATGGAGCACATCAGTGAAGCAGCTTCTGATTTCAGTTTAAAAGACATATATATAATTAAAGCAGAAAGTTTTTCTGCACAACAGAGACTGAAATTTCTCCATCTGGAAAATGTAAATACTTCCAATCACTAAGCTACAAAGTCTCAGCATTTGCTAAAAATGATATAGATACTCAATACTGTGCCACATTTCTGAAGCTTCAGAGCAGTAATCTATGAAACGTGCTCTTCCCCCACTCCGTACATAAAGCACGTCAGTGCAGGTAGTATATTCACTGATTGCACCTCAATTATTCTCAAAAGGGTACGTTCCAGCCCAGCTTAGCATGTGCAATAGGAAGTAGATTCTCAAACCATCTGGCAATTAAATTTCTTAAGTCTTAGTTTTGTGAAAATAGATCAAAACTGGCTTAAAAGCTGAACTCTGATCTGGGATTATACCGTTGGTCCTGTAAGGAAATAATTTCCAATCTACATCATCTAAAGAAATGCCTTAAGGACTACCACGGTGTTTCATTTTTTCCCCCAAAATTTCTATTATGGGGGGAAAATAGAACACAGAGACAAAAATATTTTCATCGACTCCCACAGGTCTTTTATTAGACTCCAGAGGCAAAGAAAATACGTAACACCTGGCTTTCGGATGGGAAGAGGAAACTAGAATTATTTTTATCTGTTTCCCCTCTACACCTCCACGCCATCTCTCCAGCCCCTCATTAAGCCACACGTCAACTCGGGACAATCCTCTTTTTCTCCAAACTCCCTCTGACAATGCATTAATTCTCCAGTTCATTTCTGCAGCGCAGCCCCTTTCTCTCACGTTTAACCTGCTCTGAGGAGGAGCTCACCCTTCTGCCCAAAGCGATATGCTCACACACACACACAGCCCTTTCTTAATTCATCATTAAAATGGTATTCTGTGCTCCAACCAGGTTAATCTGGTGTGCACCACAGACATTACCTCATCTGTGCAGCACATGCAGCTCAGTGCACGCAGTCTCCTTTATGTGACAATCTCTTCAAGACTGCAAATTATCATTTCCCTATCAGAAACATGAAAGCATTTTTCACATTATGAAGAGAACGATGGCACAAAGGCACCATCAAAACTTGCAGTGCCTTTAAAAGACAATGAATATGAGTTAAAATTAAAAAAACACATGTTCACATAGAGTCAGCGGTGTCACTGGGTTTTATAAAGGAATTAAATCTTTGTGTATGGGTGCAGCTTCTTCATTCATTTGTAAAATGTTAAAGGCTGATCAGACTTGTGTCTGTAGCTGAGTTGACAGATAATTCTAGCAGACCTCAGGAGATGGTGTAATTAATTGTTACAGGTTATAAATAAATAAGTTTTTAATACACATATTGTATATATGTACACACGTACATATATATTGTATATATGTATATATACATATATACATAACTTGTGCACTCAGCAGTTGTTCAAACTTAGCAGCCTGGTCCAATAATGGAAAAGTCACAATTGTATTGAAGAAATACTTTTAGTTCTTCATGTTTTGGCACAAATTATTTATGACCCAGGATGGCAGGAAAATGATTTCCATAAGCTGCTTGCTTTTCTTCTTTCTTTTCATCATTTTTCCTCTAAGCACTGGAGCTCACATAACCCATATGTACACTCCTTTACTTGTTCTGCCAGCAATACTCAGTTCAGTGGTGTTACTGTACAGAAGTTGTGCCCATCTAAATTTTATGCATTGTGCATTAGAGGCTTGGTCTACAATCACTATAGAACTGTACTGGACTTCCAGAAAGAACAGAAGCAGTGACTCATGAAGAGCATTGTCTAGAAGGCCTAAACACGAGGCTCTCGTACTCCACTACAGATTATTCAGACAAAGCTTCGTACAGGGCAGGAACAGCTGGGCACACTTTCCTTTCTGTCTTTTGAGAAAGGAGAACAACCAATACACTTGCAGTATTTATATATGACTTGTATTTAGAAACCAGCCATACACTAAATAAAAGCATCTTCAAACACAAATATGCAACACTTCAAAATCTCCTGCTTCCACCAAGCAGTCTGCATTTAGAGCCCACATCTCCGCTAACACAATTGCATCTGGACCATTATGTTTAATGGCCCTCAGTGGACCTACCCCTCCCTCAACCTCCAATACCTTTGGCCTCCACAAGTGTTGCATGCATTCTAATACCTTCCTCTCCCTGCACTCCTGGAAGCCTGAATGAGCTGTATTGGCAGAAACCTCCAGGAGGTTTGAACAGCATGTTGTGAGGATTAGAACGGTCAATACCCCAGAGCAGAATAAAATGTCCTTCTAACTGGAGAAAAAAAAAGAGGAAATTGCTACATCCCAAAAATAAAAAATAATTAAAAGAAAAAAGGGGGGAGGAGGGACGACTTCTGTCTTCACAGTTTACATTCCTGAAGCATTTTATCATTTTGAATATATATTGGAAAAAAAAGTCTGAAGAAAACAATCCACGTCCTTTCCCATCTCTCTGGTTCTACCCTTTCCATGGAACTATTCATACCAAGCTCCAAAGACAACAAAGAACTGACCTTCAGGCTGATCCCATCAAATGTCTTTTAGGCTGCTTTTAAGTTTGCCTAGATCTAGACAGCATGCAATATACAGCACCAAGGCTCAAGAAGGGCGGGCGTTTCTACATTAAACACAGATAACGCCTATATCACTTATTAGGAGACATGAACTACGTCCCTGACAGCAAAAGACAACTCACTTTGTATTTCCAGGACACACTGATAAATCAATGGAAGGCTTCAAAATAAAAATCTGTTTCTTTAAATAATAAAATAGAGATCCAAAGAGAGACTTGGCACAAACATAAGCTGCAGAGCTCATTGAATCTGTTTCACCAAGGACACCGAGATGCTGAGGGCAGCGCACACAGCAGTACTGGGGTGCTGAGCAAACGCACCCACAGGAAATAGCAAGAGGAGCTGAATAAAGGCAGGAATGCTCTGGCAGGTCTGTTCAGATGTGCAGATACAGCAAACATGCACGAGCTAAACAGAAACACGCAGGTTACTGTAACCAAGAGCTTTGTTAAGACAAATTCACTTCTGCAGAGCGTAAAATATTTATTATCACCACAGGTGGTGTAACAGTTTGTTTTACAGACACTCACAAACCTTTCCATTAAATCTATAAAAGGAGCAGATTTACCACCTTTACCCGAGCTCAGAAAAGTGATTGAACCACAGAACTCTTGGGGAGGCAGGAGTCCCCAGCCTCCCTCCCTCTGTGTGACAGCCCTTTGCTAAATTTGGGCAAACACACACAGCTGCTCTGGGCACCAACATTGCCAAAAGGTTGGGAAGAACTGAAAGGAATGTAAAACTCATGGCTGTGGCTGCTGCAATTGGAGTTGATATCAAAAGAAATCCAGCTGTCCTTCCCCCAAACCCTCAAAAATCGGGATTTGCACAGCACTGTGCCCAGAGCAGAGCACACTCAGCTATGCTGGGGAACACTTGGGGCACCTCCTCAAAAGCACAGAGTCCAGACCTGATTGCGAAGGCCCAGCAGTACTAAATCAACCACGAACAGAGCTCCAGCCCAGACTCAAGGCTCCAGATGCTCTTCCTCTTTTCATTTCCTCTCTGAATTGTTCACTAACATCTGTGTTTCCTTTTAAATACCATGCTACAATCCAAAAGCACTTGCACAGTATGTTACTTTGTACCAGAATAGGCTGCTATTAGATAAAGGTGGCAGAATGCAAGGACTGCACGGAAGTATATGCAGAAAGAATGGCAAAGCAAGCCTTCAGCAGGTAACATCTCCTCTACGTGTTCCTCTGCACAGCATCTCCCAGCTCACACACACGCTTACCTCTGATGAAAGTTTGCCTCAGTTGTTGCTGCTCTATTTTCCTTCCTTCAGCTGTCAGACAACCTGGAGAGCAACACAACTGCTTGAAGAAACGAGACCTCTAAAAGCTTGCTGTTCTCTTACATATTTTTTCAGATCAAGCCTCCCCACCTTTAAGTTCATTTTTGGAGCCAATGAGCTTCTGACTGCATGTTTACACAGCACTGAGCCCTTGGAAGGCAGAATCAACCGGGCAGACAACCAGGGGCTGTCTCAGCAACGTGGCAGCTTTAAAAACCAAGCAGATACAGAGAAAGTCACAGAGGGCACAAAAGCCTGCTGTTCCTGCCCACAGCAGTATCTGCTACTACTCCCAGCTCATTAATTGCTAGTTTTCCTGATTATAGAAACAGCTTTTTCTGCAGCTGAAATGTATGGCATCGTGTCATTTGCATATGCAAACTGACATACGAACAATGAACCAGTTGCACAGTTCCTTAGAGAGCAACAATGTAGAGGATTTACGATATGGATGTGGCAACAGGCAGGGAGGGGAGCGTGTGGAAATGGACACACAACAGCACGTGATGCTCTTTATAATGTTTTCCTGATAAATAATCCTTTGTGCAATTTCCTGAAACAAAATATTTCACATTAGTGGATTAACAACATTTAATTTGGGAAAAGAATAGAACTAAGTATCTGTGCAACTTTTATTTGCCTCTAGAAGCATAAATATTCATTAGATTTCCATATATGATCTCTCATTACAGTCACACACCGTTCTTCCACAAGATCCCTACATTATTCAGTGCAGAAAAAACAGTGCTAATTTAATGAGCAGCTTAGCATTTTGTTTTCTTCCTGTTCTCAAGGTATAAACCAAGACATTCTTTTTATGTGCTGTTTAAATTCTGCTATCAAAAAAGGAATCCCTCTTTTCTTTATGAGCATTCATTGCTATATCAGAACACTTCACTAATTTGTCACTGTTGTTCTCCTAGGCCGGAAGATGGGAGATGGTATTATTACTCCCATTTTACAGACCATAGACTGAACACACACAGATGAGGGGAAAAATAAGTAACACTTAGAGATGCCAACAGCTTGCTCTCCAAAGGACTTCTACAGGACTTCACAGATTCAAAGCACAGTTCCCATTAGGTCACCATCACCTCTGAGCACCTAGCATTTTCACAAGAC